TCACACTTATTATTGTTATTATTTTCAAACAATATATAGATAGACACACACAAACAAAATGGTTTAGTGATAGCAGCTGAATAGAATAGCATAGGTCTTACAGTTTCAACAAATCAATAACATGTTCTTCATCTTCCCTCTTCTCTCTCTATCTCTTACTTCTCCATTTTCTCTCTTTATCTTCTCTCTTCTCCCTATCCCTCTTCCCCCATTTTTAGCTTTTTTTGTGTGTTTTTTCGGAAGAAACAGTTTGGAACCGTTACGTAACGGTGCGTAACAGGCCGTTACGGCTGTTACGGCACTGTTACGACCGCTACGGCAGCCGCTATGACCGACACACCTGTGAATCTCAATCACACTGCAAAAGCGGCCGTAACGGGTGGCGGTAACCGCCAAAACCGTTACGTAACGGCGTTACGTAACGGTTGCGGCCGCTTTTTAAAACCTTGATGATAAGAAAAAACCTTTAAAATAGGATGGGTATGACCAGAATACGTTGGAAAAAAATTTATAATTTTTAGTATTCTATAATACATGAGTTCAAAGAATGGTTTCTCACTCGTAGTCAGCTTAAGAAGTAGTCAGTATACCTTCTTTCCAGTGAGACCTATAAAAATTTCATTATAATGTCAAGTGTAAACTGTTTATAATTCCCTTGTTCTTTCTCTTTTCATGCTTAAAAATGTAACGTGCAAAAGTATCATATGCAAGTTCGCTTGCTTATTTAATTGTCAAAATCCGATTTAAGTATCATTATACTATTTTTTATATATCCTTAGTTTCTGCAAAGTATGAATATGGAAACGAGACACATGCATGACACATTAAGGATTCGTTGATTCAATAAATTCTGAAAAAATAGGATACTACTCTAATCTCACTATTTTCTTCTTTGGTATACAAAAACAGACAAAATAAAGCTTTTAAGTGCAGTAATACATTCAATTGCTCAACACAGTAAATATAATGTGTCTAGTAATAACACACAAACCATTCTTTGGACTGTTTCAACTCCAACTCACCACTTACTAGATTCCAATACTGTGATCCAAATGCTAATGAAGACCTATAGTGTTAGTTAATGTAGTCCTAATTTATAGAAAATAAGCATTTATAAGGTCTCTGAGTCTCTGGAAAAAAACCTAGCATCTCACTAATTAAGGTACACTGGATTGTGTAAGAACAAACTCAACCTTATTATTTCCCAAATAACCATATATTGAAGAAACTTATCTATGCAGTGATGGAAACTGAAGTTGAACATATGTTGATTCAGATGCCAATGATATATGAACATACATTCCTTGTTGAATATATATACCACGCATGGGACGTGAAAATCGCAATACTAAATATCAGGAAATATAGTAACAAAGGATTGAACTGTTTCGTTGGTAGCTTACCTGTCAAAGCTCCGATAAGATCATTTGATACATATTCTTGAAGTGTGTGATTTGAAAACAAAAATTTGATGAGCGATGCTGCCTGCCCAGCAACCTCTGAATTAGGAGAAAGAATCAGTTCCTGAAGTACCAATATGCCCCCTGCTTCAGCAACAGCTCGCCTATTAGTTCTACTGTGCATGACGAAGTTTTGCAATGCACAAATGGCCACCATTTTCATTTCCTCCGTTGGCTGATCTTCAAGCAAACTTATCAATGCACGACATGCAGAGGCAGAATCACTGGCTCTAGCAAGTCCTTCATGCTGGGAGAGGTCACCAAGAGCAAGAGCTGCAAGAAGTTTGCCGGACTCTGATCTAGTTTGTGGGTCTAAGAGATATTGTGCTAAAGGTGCTATTGCATACTTGGAAACCTTCATTTCTCGTACCCTCGTATGGTTGAATAAAGCTTCGAGTAGTCTTCCAGACGCTTCTTCACACTGGTGAGATCTTAATAAGTCTAACAGAGCATCTATTGCACCTGCTTCAGTCATCATTTCAGCACTCGAAGCAATAGTTGATTCTTGAACAATCAATGCGTTAAGAGCTATTGTTATAGTACTATCTACTGTTGAATGCAACATCTTCACAAGAACAATCAGTGGTACTTTAAAATAGTAGTCAGCATTTGAATTTAGAACATTGGACAGAACCAGTGCAGCCGATTCCCACAAAGCATGGGGTGGTTGGGGGTCATCTTGAACAATAACCTTTGAAATCTCAAATATACCCCCGGCATCAGCAACTGCCTTCGGCCAGCTTAAAGAGAGATTATCCAACGCCTTAATTGCTGTTTGCTGCAAGTTCAATATTCCGATTCCCGCAAGTTGCACAAGGGGAAACATTTTGTCCAAGTTAACAACAAATGTCAAACACGTGCGTGGACATAAAGGAATTTACATGTTTATATCCACATGTCAGGTGTAAATCACACATGGAGTGAAGCACAAGGGGCAAAATGCATTGTGAGTTTTAAAAAATGATGAAATTGCTGTGGTTACTTGGATACAAGGGTATGTTAGTCTTTTTTGTTCAAGTCGTACACCGAGTTATGTGCTTATTTTCAAATGTCAATGGTAATCTGCACACCACAAGGAGTTTAAGTGAAATTTGCCCTATCTTCTATTTCAATAATTAAGCAAAGCATTAGTATAGTCTGTATGATATTGTTGTGTCCAAAATGAGAGTAATGCTAATATCACTCTTATTTTGTTAGATTGAGGTAGTTTAATTTAACTCAATGAGTTGCTGGACAAGTTTGCATGAATTACATAAGAAATATGTTCTTTTTCTCAGTGCAAAAGCATCAGTGAAGTTGGTCTTATTGGATGAAGCTGATGCCATGACAAAGGATGCACAATTTGCCCTTCGTCGAGGTAAAAGCATATTTTATGTTTGTTTATTTTTTTCATACACCTAGTTTTCCATGTTCATGTTGCAGTGATTGAGAAGTACACAAAAAGCACTAGGTTTGCACTTATCTGTAATCATGTCAACAAGATTATTCCAGCTCTGCAATCAAGATGTACCCGATTTCAGTTTGCTCCTCTTGATGCCATTAATGTCAGTGAGCGACTTAAACATGTTATTCAGGCTGAAAGGTGAGTTCCATACAACTTTTTTGGGGGCAAGCTTATTACCAAACAGTTAAACTGCCCCGTATATTGCCATGGAATCATTCTTAAGCAACATTGCTTTTTATTATTATTATTTTTTCTTTTATGCCAAATAAGTTATTCCTTTTTTCTTTTCTTTTTTTATGACGGAAAATACATATCATGATCTGCCTTTTGTTGTTGATCAAAAAAAAATCTGCCTTTTGTTGTTTATAATTTGTTATAATGACTTGCAGCTGGTGTGGCATATGGCATTTGATGAGTGTTATTTATTGCAACATGAAAAGCTTTAATGCCACTTCTTGGATTATTCATGAATCCATTTTGCACTGACCAATTGTGTTAAGCTTGGGTTCCGACTTTTGTGTCTTTGGGGAATGGTCTCCCCTGTTTGGACTCTCATTTTGGTGATCAATCCAAAATTATCAAGAATACTCACTTTAACAATGTCATGGCCATCAATTTTCAGTGTTTCCTTGTCGCACTTTGTTATATTTAGGTTCTTCAAGGGGATATTTGATAGCCCAACTTAACAGAGCCTACTTGTCTTAAAAGAGGCCTGCATGGGGTTTTTATTGCTTCTTTATGTGTGACAATTGCAATAATTTGAGCTCATCAACATGAGGAATAGCAGGTTACTTGGAAGGCTGCTATGTTATATTTTGCCTTGCTACCCTGAAAAATCAATAAGATGTGAAGCTATAGTTATCTTGATTTGGTTGTACTTCTGTAACTGGTGTTATTGATTAATACTATATGATTTTGCTGAACTAGGCTTGATGTACCTGAGTGTGGCTTAAAGGCACTTGTACGACTTAGCAATGGTGACATGAGAAAGGCTTTGAACATTTTACAGGTTTTAAAATCTTTTACTTCTTGCTTTTGTGTCTGTGTGAGTGCTTGTGTGTATGATTACTTCCAGTTTCACAAAAATGCAGATTGGAGAAATTATAAGTGGGTATGATTCTATAATTTCTCTATATTACTAAATTAACACCAGAACCAGATCAATAACTGCCTTGTATAAAATTTGAATAACTAAGATTCCCTTTCTTCCTTTTACCTCTTGACACCATGATTGTACTTCTCATATTCGTGGTATGATCGACTTATACCTCTATTCTTACACCCCTCCAGAATTTTTTTGTGTGATACACATTGCACAAAACACACCAATGGATTTCATTTTATCCATTGCACAAAACACATTGCACACATTTTTCACTGCTTTTCTATTGGAGCCATGTAGTTATGGTTGAATAGAATACCACCTTTTATTGTTGCTTTAGTCTCCACACCAAAAGCTAATTTAACCTACACACCAACAAATGTGGAGCAGATTACAAATTTTCATAAATCCCAATTCATTGATTTTGGTTAATTTATTGATTTTGGTTAATTTACTAATATTTAAGGATGATGTAGTTATCCAATTCATGTAGGCGATTTGGGTTGAAGAGAAGCAGAAAGAGGGAGGCCGAAATCGATGTTTGAAGAAGAAGAAGAAGAAGAAGAAGAAGAAGAAGAAGAAGAATTTGATTTTTTATCAGAAAGAGGGGTAACGGAGGAGGGAGGTCTCTGCACACCACAAGGAGTTTAAGTGAAATTTGCCCTATCTTCTATTTCAATAATTAAGCAAAGCATTAGTATAGTCTGTATGATATTGTTGTGTCCAAAATGAGAGTAATGCTAATATCACTCTTATTTTGTTAGATTGAGGTAGTTTAATTTAACTCAATGAGTTGCTGGACAAGTTTGCATGAATTACATAAGAAATATGTTCTTTTTCTCAGTGCAAAAGCATCAGTGAAGTTGGTCTTATTGGATGAAGCTGATGCCATGACAAAGGATGCACAATTTGCCCTTCGTCGAGGTAAAAGCATATTTTATGTTTGTTTATTTTTCTGCTCCAAAATATGATCATATTTATTTTATGTTTGTTTATTTTTTCATACTCCTAGTTTTCCATGTTCATGTTGCAGTGATTGAGAAGTACACAAAAAGCACTAGGTTTGCACTTATCTGTAATCATGTCAACAAGATTATTCCAGCTCTGCAATCAAGATGTACCCGATTTCAGTTTGCTCCTCTTGATGCCATTAATGTCAGTGAGCAACTTAAACATGTTATTCAGGCTGAAAGGTGAGTTCCATACAACTTTTTTGGGGGCAAGCTTATTACCAAACAGTTAAACTGCCCCGTATATTGCCATGGAATCATTCTTAAGCAACATTGCTTTTTATTATTATTATTTTTTCTTTTATGCCAAATAAGTTATTCCTTTTTTCTTTTCTTTTTTTATGACGGAAAATACATATCATGATCTGCCTTTTGTTGTTGATCAAAAAAAAATCTGCCTTTTGTTGTTTATAATTTGTTATAATGACTTGCAGCTGGTGTGGCATATGGCATTTGATGAGTGTTATTTATTGCAACATGAAAAGCTTTAATGCCACTTCTTGGATTATTCATGAATCCATTTTGCACTGACCAATTGTGTTAAGCTTGGGTTCCGACTTTTGTGTCTTTGGGGAATGGTCTCCCCTGTTTGGACTCCCATTTTGCTGATCAATCTAAGATATCGAGAATACTCACTTTAACAATGTCATGGCCATCAATTTTCAGTGTTTCCTTGTCGCACTTTGTTATATTTAGGTTCTTCAAGGGGATATTTGATAGCCCAACTTAACAGAGCCTACTTGTCTTAAAAGAGGCCTGCATGGGGTTTTTATTGCTTCTTTATGTGTGACAATTGCAATAATTTGAGCTCATCAACATGAGGAATAGCAGGTTACTTGGAAGGCTGCTATGTTATATTTTGCCTTGCTACCCTGAAAAATCAATAAGATGTGAAGCTATAGTTATCTTGATTTGGTTGTACTTCTGTAACTGGTGTTATTGATTAATACTATATGATTTTGCTGAACTAGGCTTGATGTACCTGAGTGTGGCTTAAAGGCACTTGTACGACTTAGCAATGGTGACATGAGAAAGGCTTTGAACATTTTACAGGTTTTAAAATTTTTTACTCCTTGCTTTTGTGTCTGTGTGAGTGCTTGTGTGTATGATTACTTCCAGTTTCACAAAAATGCAGATTGGAGAAATTATAAGTGGGTATGATTCTATAATTTCTCTATATTACTAAATTAACACCAGAACCAGATCAATAACTGCCTTGTATAAAATTTGAATAACTAAGATTCCCTTTCTTCCTTTTACCTCTTGACACCATGATTGTACTTCTCATATTCGTGGTATGATCGACTTATACCTCTATTCTTACACCCCTCCAGAATTTTTTTGTGTGATACACATTGCACAAAACACACCAATGGATTTCATTTTATCCATTGCACAAAACACATTGCACACATTTTTCACTGCTTTTCTATTGGAGCCATGTAGTTATGGTTGAATAGAATACCACCTTTTATTGTTGCTTTAGTCTCCACACCAAAAGCTAATTTAACCTACGCACCAACAAATGTGGAGCAGATTACAAATTTTCATAAATCCCAATTCATTGATTTTGGTTAATTTATTGATTTTGGTTAATTTACTAATATTTAAGGATGATGTAGTTATCCAATTCATAAATCCCAAAGGTAACACCAACCATGGTTGTAAATCCTTTTATTTTGTCTTCTCATTTCTTATTTTTCTAGGTAACTAATAGGTTTTGTTTTTCTTTGTTGTTTGTTTCAGTTCAAGCTTCTATTGCAGCCAACACTTGGGTTGTTAGTGGTTCTCCTCAAACAAAGAGTATATTTTCCTCCCTTTCTAGTCGTTAATATGAAATACTATTCTCTACATAAATATAATTATGATAGCTCTCCCTTCTCCAATAATTAGAATTTGGCAAAGTTGGTGCACTAATGTTAGTTTTTCTCTCTTTTTATCTCTCTTCTCTTTCCCTTGGGTTTCCCTTCGGTTTGTTTGTTTGTTTGTTTGTGGATAAAGGCTTTGATTTCCAACCAAGGAAGTACTCTGCTTGGTAATAGTGAATTTTAGAGGACAAGTTGTAAATGTGGTGGTTTTCTATTGTATTTCTAGATTTCATATTTCTTAAATACTTTAATTTAATTTAATTTTTATTTTTTTACAACAAATTGGTGTTTACAAACTAACATAGAGCGTTTTATGCACAATGGAACAAAATAGGAGACTTATGCATAGTTACATAGTAAATGCGTACTTCTTAGGTGCATATGACCAAGTAAACGTGTTGGATGCTTATCTTAGGTCGAGTGTCTGACATGGGTACCTCACACATTTAGAAGGGTCCATGTAATATAGATTATAATAAAACATTTTTGAAAATAAGGTCTTCTGTACTTTGTTCCCAAGTAGTGCATCATAAAGTAGGAAAACATGATCCAGTGAAAACTACTTCTAACATTGCCTTGGTTGCAAAACTTGAGGGCAAACTGAATTGATATAGCTGTGTGTTAATGCATTCCTTCATTTCTTTCCTTTTGTTTTTTAGCCTGCAGGGAGGGAAGGCGGTGTGGGAATTGGGGTTGGGGTTGCTTGGAAAAGTGATAAATAACTACATTGATTGGTTCAGTGGGCCTGCCTACACATATGTAGAAAACAGCCTGTGATACGTATTCTCTGCATTTTTGTTAAGCATCTCACGAATGTTGGTACTCTGAAACGTAATTGCCCGAGCAAGAGTCTTGACTGCACTGGAAACTTTAGATTATATTTGAGTTACAAAGGGTTTAGGTTATCCCTCCATTTGAAGAATCAAAGCTTAAAGCCCCACCAATCTGAAGAGCCCACATCAAGTATCTGGGCCAGGAAAAGATAGAAATGTCCAGCACCTTAATAAGGGGCTGCAAATTCTTTAAATTTGACATCCTTGGGATGAACTGAAAATTCAATATATTTGTTTCTCCTCTCTTTTGACCCTTCCACCTGGTTATTTTTGCTAGCAGAGGCATATATTATTGCTTGTCCTTGAGCCATTCAATTATCTCTTCTAGTTCTCAATTATTAGACTAACCGGATTCTAATTGAACCATTATTTTTTTCCTTTTCCCCAGAGTTGCAAGACATTCTCCTTGGAATTATTAACCAATTGGGTATGTGCAGTTGTGTTTCTTATAATATCATTTTCTTTTATATTAAATGGATCTGTTTATTCTTAACACTGAAAAGATTCTCCTGATGTGTTTACTCACTGGATTTCCTTCTTTCAGGGCCCGATAACTTGGACAACTTGAGGAAGCTGGCAGAGCAGTTCCAGAAGCAGGCACCTGGTGCCAGTGCTGGTGCCGATGCAACTGCTGTGCAAGAAGATGACGACGACCAGGTTCCGGACCTTGTGGCTGGTGAGACCTTTGAAGCAGCTGCAGAGGAGAGAAAATCTTATTGAGACCTTGTGGCTCTTAGTTATTACAAGGGAGGATTAAATATTTAGGTTCCACAAGGGAGGATTAAATATTTTTGGATGGATGTGTATGGATAACAAATATTAGTAGTTTTATTTGTTGATAGCTGCGCATGAATAACAAATAGTTATGTTTCAAATTGTTATGCTAGATGGATGTGACTTGTGAATGAAAGCTTAGAATAGTTGTATTGTGTTGAATGTTAATGAATTATGTATTGTGTCGAATGTTAATGATTCGATTAATTTGAATGATGCTTTAAAAGTATGGGTTTATTATGGATTGAATGAATTATTAGGAATTACAGGTGTATTGTTTTCTTGCTTTGGCGACCAATTTATTAGTTGCGACATCCAAAATAATTTGTTTTCGTAAAAAATGACAATTGCCAACTAAAAGTTTTGGTCGCAAAAAATATATCTATTGCCGACCAAAACAGCTCTTGGTCGTGGAAACTCACTTTTGCCGACCAAAAGTTTTGGTCGCGAAAAGTAACAAATGGCGACCAAATTTTTTGGTCGCGAAATGTGATAATTGGCGACCAAAAAATTTGGTCACGAAATGTGATAATTGGCGACCAAACTTTTTGGTCGCGAAATGTGACAATTGGCGACTAAGAAATTTGGTCGCGAAAATATCACTTTTCGCGACTAAAGTGTTTTACAGACAAAATAAATTAGTCGCGGTAATTAAATATTTAGCGACCAAAAATTTAGTCGGCAAATCCAACTGTTGCCGATCAACGAAAATTTTGGTCGCGAATTACTTTTGCCGACCCTCAATTGGCGACCAAACTAGCGACAAAAAATTTTGGTCGCGGATAACTTTTGCCGACCAAAAATAGACTTTTAGCGACCAATTTTTTCGTCGCTAAAAGTGTAAATTCTTGTAGTGTCACATGAACATGATATTTGCATATTTTGCAAGAGTAAAACCAAAAGTTTGTGTTCAACCTTTTCTCGCAAATATAGCAATCCCCAAAATTTATTGAAGAAGGATAACTGAAGGTTTCTGTTAGGTTTTTATTATTGGTAATCCCGTTTGACAAAACTCCTTACAGTTGTATTTATTTTCGCACTTTTATTTCAGTAAGGCTATGAGTGTTTAGATGCGAATCCAACTCGAATTATGCCTTTCAGAGGAGTCTGTGATGCTAATGCTTTCAAGATTGCCACTTCGCTGATCATGACGAGGATCGAGCTGCCCGGTCAGCTCGCGGGGGTCCACGGGGCAGCGCCCCTTGGCGGGTCCAAGACAGCGCCCAGGCGGGGTCGAGGGGCAGCGCCCCCGAAGCAAAATGCAAAAATGCATTCCAAGTTTCCTGTCCGTTCGAGCGGACATTACCCCGCTCGAGCGGAGAATCCTTGGTTCCAGCAGTTTTGGTCGCTTGTAAAAGTACTGAGATGTGTGATTTCGCGCTTGAGCGAACCTCAGTTATATCACGCGCATATTTTTCTGAAGCCGCTCGAGCGGGCTGTTGGGCGCTCGAGCGGAGATCGCGGGACAGATTCTATAAATTCGCGTGTTGGGTCAGATTTTAGGATTACTACTCCAGATCTTCTTCTTGGGCTCTAGGGTTTATATCTGGGGATATTTTGCTAGTTTTCTTTGATGTTTTGTTTGAGTATTCAACTCATGGTTTAAAGATTATACATCAAAGGGTTGTTTGTTTATTCTACACAAAAGAGAGAGTTGTTCTTCGTGGATTCTGAAGAATTCGAGCCTGAAGCTTTGGTAGATTCTGAAGTGGCTCATCGTAAAGACAATTTCGAGGTGAAGACGGGGTTGGAAGAGGCACATAGAGGTTGGTTCAATTCGAGCGTGGATTTACTAGGTAATTGAGAGTATACCTGTGTAATTCCTTTAAATCTTCTTAGTGGATTGTCTTGTGGCTGTTGCCCGTGGTTTTTTGTTCACGATTAGAGGTGTCCAATTGTGATTTTTCCACGTAAAATCGTTGTATCGATTTGTCTTGATTGTTTGATTGGGATTGTTATATTCTGCTTAAAATTGATATGTAATCACAAATCAACATCTAGGAGATTTCTAGATTTTTCAATTGGTATGAAAGCAGGTCGTTCTATTTTTTTTTAAAATTCTTTTAGAACGCTCTATTTTTTAAAAAAAATTCTTTTAGAACGAGATCTTGTTTGATTTGTGATATGGATTCAATTCGTGAGGGAAATTCTATGATTCGACCACCCCTACTTGACGGATCCAATTATTCTTTTTGGAAAGCTCGAATGAGATCGTTTTTAAAATCTATTGATGAAAAAGTTTGGCAATCTGTCATGAATGGGTGGACCGAACCAACAATTACTATTGATGGAGTAACTTTCCCCAAACCAATTGATAAGTGGGACACAACTGATTACCAAAATAGTAGTTGGAAGAGTAAAGTTATCAATTCTCTCTTTTGCGCTGTCACACCTGAAGAGTTTAGTCGTATTTGCAATTGTGAAGTCGCAAAAGAGGCTTGGGATATCTTACAAACTATTCATGAGGGCACTCCTTCGGTTAAACGCTCAAAACTTCAAAGGCTCACGTCTAGTTTTGAAAACCTTTCAATGAAAGATAGTGAGACCTTTGATGAATTTTATGCGAAGTTGAGTGACATTGTAAATTCCAACTTCAATTTAGGTGAAAAAATACCAGAATCCAAAGTTATGGGAAAAATTTTGAGATCCTTGTCCGATCGGTTCCAACCAAAAGTTACAGCTATTGAGAAGGCTTAAGATGTTGACAACCTCAAGCTGGATCACTTGGTTGGAAATCTCCAAACTTATGAGGCACATAGGAATTTCAAAAAGAAACAAAAAGACACTATTGCTTATAGTAGTGCTCATAGAGTTGGAGAGGATTCTGATGAGGATTGTGCGATAGATTCCAAGATTATGGATGCTTTTGTAAAACAATTCAAAAAATCTTTTTTGAAAAAGAATCCTAATCTTTTGGAATCTCCTCATACTCATAAATCTATAGGCAAAGATAAACTCAAAATTAATCCTATAGCCAAGAAAGAAAAAGGAAAGATACAAGGGAACTTTGAAAGAGTCCAATGCTATGAATGCTAAGGATTTGGCCACTTTGCTTCAGAATGCCCCACTTGTTTGAAGAAGAAGAAAGCCCTCGCCATCACTTGGGATGATGAATCAGAATTTGATGAAGATGAAAGTGACAACGAAGATCAAGGCGAAGAGGGACATAAGCAATTCCTTGCTTTCATGGCGGCTTCCGACACTAAAGGACGAATAGAGTATCTGAAGAGGTTGGTTGAGAATGCCACTGATGATGAATCCTCGGAGAGTGATGTTGAAGAGCTTGAGCAAGCTTATGAAAAGTTGTATAAGGAGTCTCTTAACTTATTCAAATTGAATGACAAACTCACAAAGAAACTCAAAACATGTGAAAGTGAGAATGTCAAACTTAAGGAGGAGATTTCCGAGGCCAGGATTGATGCCATCAAGATAGCTGATGATCGACAAGCTCTTTGTGCAAAACTGTTGACTTGTGAGACAGAGAGGAATAAGCTACAGGAAACCAATGCCATGTATGAAGAAAAGATTGAATCTCTCGAGATGTCACAAGTTGCTTTGGAAGAACTAATGATCAAGAAAGAGGAAGAGCTAAAGTGTGCTATGGCTACCATTGGTCTTTGGAACAGAGGATCAAAGACTTTGGATAATATCATTGGGTCTCAACAAATTTGTTCTGACAAGTGTGGCATTGGCTTTGGTGGTAAAAAAGAGCAAAAACAGAGTACTTCCATATTTCATGATACAAGAACTCAAGGAAAGGGAGAACAAAAAATTCAACATGAGGATAGACTTCTCAAACTTCCTAGAGTTGGTAAGGCCAAAGAAAAGAAGGTACAATCTGTTTTTATTTGTCATCATTGTGGTATGTATGGTCATATTCGCCCTTATTGTTATAAGTTGCATGGAAGAGTGTATTTGCCTAGACCTAGAAATAGGAAGTTGGAAACCAAGTCGAGACGGGTTCTCATTGAAAGCAAAGGGAACCACAACGTCAAGACACCACCCAAGAACTGCAATGCTCACAACTTTGTTCATACTAAAGCGGTTTGGGTAAGAAAACTTGACTTGTGTTAATTTGTTTATTTGTTTTAGTTTTTGGGTTTTTGTGTGTGCATGTTCGTTTTTTGTCTTGCTTTGGTTAAGAAAAAAAAAACTCTTGCTTTGGTTAAGGAAAAGAAAAAAAAAAAAATCTTGCTTTGATTAAGAAAAAAAATTGAAAAAAATTCCAAAAAGATTTTCTTAGTATGGTTTTGCAAGCTTCAAATTTTTAAGTGGTCCTTGGAGCATATTGGAATTGATGAGAATATCCATTACAAGTTAATATGTGTGTGCTTTCTGTGGTCCTTACTCATTTTGGAGTGTATGTTTTTTGATTAGTATGTCTCATTCTGTACACACTCTTGGATTAGCAAATATTGGAGTCTTCCGCCTTAGTGATTATTTTTTTTTGGACTTCTGGCATTGTATCTTTTGCTTTTCTAGAGGAATTGACCTATACTAGCATATCATGGGTGATGTTGAGTCTCTTAACCACCTTCCATCTTTTTGCATCTCCACGGCTTTCCCCTCTGTTCTTTGGAGTCTAGCCATAAGAAAAAGGCTACCTCAGAGTCACCAACCATGCCATCCTTATTATATCCATGCTTCTCTGGTTCGGTTTCCATACTCTTGAGCGTGTCAGCCGCCAATGAGTGTGCAAAAGAAAAAGAAAAAGAAAAAGAAAAAGAAAAAGAAAAAGAAGAAGAAAAAATATGCAAAAGAAAGAAAAGTATGGTCAAAAGAAAGAAAGAAAGAAAAAAAAGAAAAAAAAAATCATTGATTGAGGGGGAGCCTCCGCCTTTGCTCACCAAATACCCCTTGATTCCTAGTGGTTTGACTTTCTGTAGTTATGCTTAGATTCTCTTGTCGGAGGTCCAGCTTTCATATCTCTACTAGGATTCGAAT